GCCCGGGCTGGGGATTCGAACCCGCCACCTTAGGTGTATGTGGCTGGCGCCTTAGCAGCTTGAGCCACAGGAGCCGAGCCCAGCTTCCAGTTTCTTACATGCCTTTATCCAGCTTCTTAACAACTCTTTCAAATTCACACGTGGTTGTGGTCTTTTTAGAACTGTGAAGGGGTAGGACATTCTTTGCAGTTCATTTATGAAAGTTGGAGAACTTGGTCTTAGCCACAAGAGGACATAACAGAGAACCATGGGAGGTGGAAAAGAGCTGACAATAATGACGTTTCCTCACAAGTGTTGTCTAAGTTAACAGAAATTTGGGGTCTGTTATACATTAAATTTCAATACAGTCAGCTAATGGTATTATCTATAGAAATAGATTATTAAAGAAGCTTTAGGGAACTCAAGGGGTAGGCAATAGTAGCTGTTATTGATATAGTGGTTTTCTTTATATACTTTGCCCTTCCTTAGAATCTTTCCATTTTGGAAGAAATTTGCTTGTTTAAATTCTTATGGCGGGGGGGGGGGGGTGTTGGCCAGCATTGAGTAGTTAATAATTGAAGTATTTGAGTATCTACCATTGTGCATGTTGTGCAGACTCTAAACCTCCAAAGAATGGAGTCTGTCTCTTGCATCTGTTTAAGTTTCTTGGTTTACCAGAAAATGAATAGTTTGTATTATTACTCCCAGATCTAATCATTACAGTTGGCTCTCTGTGTCTATGGGTTGTGCATCTGCAGGTTCCACAGTTAACCAGTGGTGCCTCAGAAACATTTGGGGGAAAACACAATGAAATAATAATATAAATTTAAAAAATGTAGTACAATAACTATTTATATAGCATTTATATCATATTAGGTTTGTAAGTATTCTAGAGATAATTTAAAGTATATGAGAGAATGTGTATAGGTTTTATGCAAATAGTATATCATTTTATGTTAGGGACTTCAGTATATGTAGGGGTCCTGGAACCCAATACCCTGTGGATACCAAGGGACAGCTGTACATTTTAGCCCTGAAGTTTTTGTTTGAATTAATAATTTGTCTAGTCTTTCTTCTGAGAGCTGGTGAAGCAAGTATTTCATAATGAAAGAAAACCTAACCTGGATATAGTGAAGTCATCATTAAAAAGTATGTGATTTTGAGTTTTTTAGAGATTACACTTGGTCAGTACTTTGAGTAAATTTAAAAGCACTATTTAAAAGGATTTGTCTGATATTTAGATGCTACAGGAAAGACTATTCTTTAAATATTTGTTACATTTAGATGATTAAAACTAGAAATATGTAATAGCTTTTAAACTGCAGTTTTTTAAAGCTAATTTATTGTGTTTTATTAGGACCTGGATGTTCAATTCCAGTGCCAGCTAACCAGTCATTTTGGACTCGAGAGGAATATTCTAACTTAAAACTTCCCAGAGCATCTCATAAAGCTGTGGTCAATGGAAATATAATGTGGGTTGTTGGAGGTTATATGTTCAACCACTCAGATTACAACATGGTTCTCGCGTAAGTTGTTCTCAGCATTTTTGTAAGAAACTTAATTTTTCATTTTGGAAATCATTTCTAAAATACAAATAAGCAAAAAGAAAAATCACCTATAATTTCAGTAGTAGAGGAAAATTCCCATTAATATTTTGGTAGTAGTCTTTCAGAGTGTTTTAGCATATGTTTAGTTTTTAAAATTGAGAGCCACATAAGTCGTTGTTATGATAAGCAATAATTCATCTTGTCTAGATACTATCTCTGATATTTAGCTTTAGGTACATATAGTAGGTTCTGTATAAATAGGGGATTCCTTTATCTTTTATTTATTTTTTACTTATTTTAAGACAGAGTCTACCTTTGTTGCCCTCGGTAGAGTGCCATAGCATTACAGCTCACAGCAACTTCAAACTCTTGGGTTTAAGTGATTCCCTTGCCTCAGCCTCCCAAGCAGCTGGGACTATAGGCACCCACCACAATCCTCAGCTGTTTTTTTGTTGTAATTGTCATTGTTGTTTAGCAGTCCGGGACAGGTTTGAACCTGCCAGCCCTGGTGTATGTGGTTGGCGCCCTAACCACTGAGCTATGGGCACTGAGCCTTTTATCTTTTAATTTAACTAATAGGTCAAATGGTCCAAATTTATAGTTTGCTAGTGGAAATTATGCCATTGTCTAATAACTTCCCAGGGCTCAAGGTCTGTTTACTTATCCCATGCTGCTCATTTTGAAGGAGAATACATATTGTCACAGAGGAATTAGCTATCGAGAGTGACTTTTAGAAGAAATTTATGAACATGCTGATTTTATAGCCTATAATTTTTTTCTAGGAATTTTTTATTAAGATTGTTAAAAACCATCACTTCTTTAAGGGATTCTGGAAATATGGCAGAAGTAGCATACTTTCTGAATCCCCCAAAATGTAGACATTAAAATAGCCAGAATAACTTGGCCTACAAAATCAGAAACACATGAGCAGGCTGGGTACATGGCTAACGCCTATAATCCTAGCACTCTGGAAGGCCAAGGCGAGTGGATAGCTTGAGTTCACTAGTTCAAGACCAGCCTGAGCAAAAGCAAGACCCCTGTCTCTACTAAAAATAGAAAAACTGAGGCAAGAGGATTGCTTAAGTCCAAGAGTTGGAGTTTGTTGTGAGCTATGACACCACATCACCCTATTGAGGGTAACGGCTTGAGACTTTGTCTCAAAAAAAAAAAAAGAAAAGAAAAGAAAAAATACACATGAGTAACATTTATAACAAAATGTGGTCAGAAGATAACTATATGATTGGGTGAGGCTAAATCATCGATAGCTATAAGACTTATGTAGTATCAGCATCTCTGCAAGAACAAAGGTGGAGCAATGGCAAGACTAGTAGGATCCAGCATGGCTAGAAGATACTCACTTGAAATCAGCAAGCCAGTTAAGAGCAACAGCTGGAACTGGAAAGAGTTTTGTGTGTTCTAGTAGCTGGGTGAGCGCAAGGGATCTATAGTAGGTTCTGAAAGAGCCAGAGAAGTTTGTGCCTTGTTTACTCTCAGAATGAACCAGCCAAATGTTTTTGCATAGGAGAAAGTCCCACACTGAGGAGAAACTCCTGGGAATGAAATTCAAATTGAGCAGGACAGGGACAGTAGAGACAAAGAAAAAGAATATTCAGGCCAGGTGTGGTGGCTCACATCGTAATCCCAGCACGCTGGGAGGCTGAGGTGAATGGATTGCATGAGCTCAAGAGTTTGAGACCAGTCTGAGCAAGAGCAAGGTCCTGTGTCTACTAAAAATAGAAAAACTAGCAGGGTTTGGTGCAGGCGCCTAAAGTCCCAGCTACAGGAAGCTGAGGCAGGAGAATCGCTTGAGCCCAAGAGTTTGAGGTTGCTATGAGCCATAATGCCATGGCACTCCATCTAGGGATGACAGAGTGAGACTCTGTCTCAAAAACAAAAACAGAGGTCCTGTCTCTACAAAAAAAAAAAAAAAAGAAGAAGAAAAAGAAAATAATTAAATAGAAATTGTAAAACAGAAAAATATAGGACAAACACCAAAACAGAAATTGCAAAGGGTGGGCGCAGAATGGGGAGGACGGAGGAAAGAATCAGTGAATTTGAAGGTAGAGCAATAGAAATTGCTCAATCTGAACAACAGAGAAAAAATAGAATTTTAAGGCTCAGTGCCTGTGGCTGAAGTGGCTAAGGTGCCAGCCACATACACCCAAGGTGGCGGGTTTGAATCCAGCCCGGGCCTGCCAAACAACAATGACGGCTGCAACCAAAAAAAGAATAGCCGGGTGTTGTGGCGGGCGCCTGGGGTACCAGCTACTCAGGAGGCTGAGGCAGGAGACTCGCTTGAGCCCAGGAGTTGGAGGTTACTGTGAGCTGTGATGCCACAGCACTCTACCCAGGGGGACAGCTGGAGGCTCCTGTCTCAAAAAAAAAAAAAAAAAAGTAGAATTTTAAAAAAGATGAACAGAACCTCAGAGACCTTTGGGACTATAACAAAAAAAATCTAATATTTCTGTCCTTGGGAGAGAGCTGGAAGCAGAGAGGACAAAGAGAGAGTGTCTGGGAAAGTACTTGAAGAAATAATCGCTGAAAATTTCCCAAATTTGGCAAAAAACATGAGCCCATGGGATTCAAGGATCTGGTTGAACTTTAAATAGTATAAACCCAAAGAAGTAGATACCAAAACATTATCAGAGTAAAACTTCTGATAAGTAAAGACAAAGAATAAAAATCTACTTTGGGAGGCCGTGGTAGGTGGATCACCTGAGCTCAGGAGTTTAAGAACAGCTTGAGCAAGAGAGAGACCTAAAGCTGGGTGTTGTGGTGGGCATCTGTAGTCTCAGCTGCTTGGGAGGCTGAGGCAAAATGATTACTCAAAACCAAGAGTTTGAGGTTGCTCTGAGCTATGCCATGGCACTCTACTGAGGGTGACAGAGTGAGACTGTTTCAAAAAAAGAAAATCTTTACCTTAGTGAGAGAATTGCCACCTTACTTAGAGGGCCAAAAGAATTCAAATGACAGCAGATTTCTCACTCAACACATTTTTCAAGTGTTAAAAAGACTGTCAGCTTGGAATTCTATGTCCAGCAAAAATGTTTTAGGAAAGAAGAGGAAATGCATTCTCAGAGAAGGAAAACTGAGATAATGTGTTCTCAGCACACTTTTCCTAAAAGAATAATAAAGGAAGTGCTTTAAATAGAAAGCATTTGTTAAAAGAAGGAATGTTGGAACCTTAGGAAGGAGAAGGAAGACTGAAAATAGCAAAAATGTTGGCAAATATGAATTTTCTTCTTGAGTTTAAAATTAAATTTAGAGGTTGAAGCAAATTTTATAACAAAAAATCTTTAGCAGATTAGAAGAATAACTCACCACAAATTGTGAATGGTATGTGGAAATGCACTAAACTTTGTTGTTTTTTATTTTAGTTTTTTGAGATAGTCTCACTTTGTTGCCCCAGTAGAGTGCGGTAGTGTCATAGTTCATGGCAACCTCAAACTCTTGGGCTCCAGTGATTCTCTTGCCTCATATTCCCAAGTAGCTGGGACTACAGGCACCTGCCACAACACCTGGCTGTTTTTTTGAGACAAGGTCTTACTCTTTCCTAGGCTGGTCTCAAATCAGTGAGGGCAGTCCACCCACCTCGGCCTCCCAAGTGCTGGGATTACAGGCGTGAGCCACCGTAAAAATCTCAGGCCTTCTCTGAGATTTTCTAATCTATAAAAGGAGAGATGGTGGGGTGAGGAGTGGGAATCCTAATACCTAAAGTTTCTTTTCTGGCTTAATTTTAGGAACTTTGTACCAAAAATATGATTGGAAAAAAAGTCTGAAAGTTATATAGGACATATGTTACATTTATTTAATATTATCCATTTTAAAAGGATTTGGAAACATGTATCGAGTCTTCTTGATATGTTCTTCTTAATATATCTATACAACCACTTTCAATATACATGTTTTAGAGGAAAGCAAGCTCTTTCTGAAAGGCCGTAGTTTTCAAGGTGCTAATTCTCTAAACTGGATATTTTAAAATTACCGTAGGTTTGTTTTTTTGTGTGTGTGTGTGTGCTCTTAATCTCGATATATAACTTTTCCCTCTGCTGTTTGGGCCCAGATATTAAAGTCCTCCTTCAATTCCTTTTTCCCTCATTTATCCTTTAGTCGACAGATCACTGAGATCAATAGATTCACTTTCAAAACATCTCTGAAGTAAAACTGGCCCCATCTCTATTCCCATTGAATTTATGATGGAACTCCTGCAGTGGTCAGGCTATTCTTCCTCCAGGTTCTCTTCTTTCTCCATACCACAGAGTTAAGCTATTTTCATTGCCTAGAATATAAATGCTTTCCTGAATATGAATTTTAAAGTCCCATTTTATTTTAGTTTTCATGTACACAGATTTAAAGCACTTTCATGGTTTTCTTCAGAAGAGCTGTTTGCCAGCACTAGGAATGGCACAGATAGTAACTGGGGATTGTGTAGGGGATTAGGTCTCTATAGAACTTCTCTATGACACTTCCCACTGGGGGAAGAGAACTCTTAGTCTCTGCTCTCTCTTTACCAGACAGCCCACAGAACAGCCTAATTCTGTCTCTCCAGTCCACTCTACCTCAGCAAATCATTGGTGTGATCACCTCCTAGAGTGTGTCATTGTCAGTAGCCTCCCTCCACCCTACTCCAGTAATCTCAATTCTAAGCATTCCATATCCCAACTGCCTCCTTCTGTTATAATTCTTATTGGTGCTTTGCCCAAATTCCTTTACCTTTACCTTGCACCCAGTAATCTACTGCTGTGAAAGTTGGCTGTTGTCAACTCATAGATGTCCCTTAGTCTGGAAAATTCTCCCAGCAGATTGGGGCTGTCTTGCATACCTCAGAGGCTATACCCTATCTCCAGGACAGCTCCTAGCAGAGGGACCAGCCAGTCACTGAGACTTTCCCAGTTTAGCCCTGAAAGTCTTATATCCAGGCAACCTGGGATGGTTGGTCATCCTTGGATTCCAGCCTACAACTGACTGGCATGGAGGTA